ATACTCACACTCACACTCACACCTACATCCACATTCACACTCATACCAACACTCACACTCACACCCACATCCACACTCCCACCCACACTCACACCCCACACCCATACCCATAACGAACAGTATAATTGTCAAATAGAAAGCGTTATTTGAGTATCGCTTCAAACAAAATTGATTTTACTTTTCTTGTTGTTTCATTCACATTATCAGAGTGTTCGTTATAATCATAATAAAACAAAAGCAAACTGACGATGTCTTTGTTGTTTTTTTTGTTTCTGCCAAAAAAATGACAAAAAAGTCGTTCCTAGAGAATCAAAGAAAAATCAAACACTCAAGGAGATAAGGCACCTGTAGAATGACTTAAATGTCCTTCTACAAATGAAAAGCAAATAAAATTTGGAAAGAATGACCAAAAACTAAATGACGACGTTGTTGTTTTTTTTTCTTTTTCATTTCTTGTTGAGTGTCAACGAAAACGAAAGACACGCACATTTGTCGTCGTAGAAAAATCTATAAAAAACGTAAGGCATCGACTGTATCAATTGAAAAAATGATGTCTGTCTAAACAACAATCTGTTATTCATAATACTCGATAACCAATCAAACGACAAAAATTACATCCAAAATGGGTGGACTGAAATCCAAACAACAAGTTTTCAAATCAACTATGGATGTTGCAGGATGCACAACAACATCACCCAATACTATTCAACCAAGACGTCATATAATTCAGAATTATTTGCTCATCTGGATCGATGGTAATATCAATGAAACAAATGAAGATTGTCAAAATACACTGGCACAATTGCGTCGTGTTGTCAATGAAGTGACAATTTGTGCCCAACCAGCACAATGTATCAGATGCCTCAATGATGCGGATGACGAGAAAGCTTTCGTCATCTCTTCCGGTACTTTAGGTCAGCATTTGGTGCCACAAATTCATGATATGCCACAAGTAGATGCTATTTATATCTTCTGTGGCGACGAATCGCGACACAAAACATGGACAACGGAATGGCCGAAGATTCAAGGCGTATTCACATCAATTAACCCAATATGTGAGTCATTAAAACGGGTTGCCCGCCAATGTGACCATGACAAAATGCCGATGAGCTTCATTTCAAAGCAGATGATGCAGGGCATAACATCGGATCAACTAAATCTCGACCAGTTGGAACCAGCCTACATATATTCATTCCTTTTCAAAGAAATCATCTTAGAAATCGATGAAGATGATGCAAAGTCAGTAAAAGAGCTAGTAATTTATTGTCGACAACAAAAAGTCTCTGAATTCGAATTGAACGATTTTCAACGTCAATATCACGAGAAGTCACCAGTCCGATGGTATACTTCTGATATTGTCCTGTACAGCATGCTCAACCGCGCTCTGTGGTCACTTGACATGGAAACCATGGCAAAAATGGGCTTTTTCATTCGAAACCTTCATCGACAACTTAAACAACTGCATCAAAAACAATCGGATACATTTAAAAAACAATTTAACGTTTATCGTGGCCAAGAACTCTCCCAACAAGACTTTGACCATCTATGTGATACAAAAGGTGGATTTCTCTCATTCAACAACTTCTTGTCTACTAGCACAGAAAAACACATCGCCATGAAATTTGTTAAACGCACACTGCGCAAAGATAAAGACACTGTGAGTGTTCTCTTTATTATGACAATTAATCCTAATGAAGTTTCGGGTTCACG